CTCCACGAATGTCATTTATCTATCCCAGGAATTCATCCAGACAGGATCTCTCCTCATTCTAGTGTTATGGAGAGTGGACATCTTGCTCCCTTTCTACAGTGCCACTGTACACCTGGCAGCATTCAGCACATGGAATTGGTGGTGGTGGAGGTGGCCCCAAACCAAGCAGGCAGAACAGCAGGAGCCCATCCCCATGCTGATGGAATTTTGCATGGGATCTTGTTTGCAGGAGACTCTGGGCAGGCAATGAAGGCCATCCAAAAAAATAACCAGGAGACAATACTCATGGCTCCAGAGAGACAAACACGGGGCGGGCAGAAAGGAAGTGCAAAGGGCAGAGATGAAATGTGACCACGCTGAGATTTAGTTGGATGATAAAAACCTAACCCGAGCTGCCCATCTATCCCATGGCAGCACAGGGCAGTGGCACAGCCCCTGCTTCAGTGATTTCACTCTGCAGAAGGGAAGACTCAACACCTCAGGGACTGCGCTGGGGACTGGTACAGCCTGGTGTGCACCAAGTGGCACTGACACACAGTTATCCCATGTGGCATCCAGCCTGCCCCGAGTGGCTCCACACACCTGGTGGGGTGATGGGGTGATCAGGAGTGGAACACAAGGCCTTAAAAGAGGGGGATGAGGAGAAGGAATATGGGATAGGGAGGATCAAGACATAAAGGGAGTGATGCTGCACCGGGCAAGGCAGCAAACACAAAGGGCAGTGCTGGGACAACAGCCCGATCCCAGCCTGCTGCTGGAGGTATCCCCATCTCTGCCCTACAGAATGCTCCTGGGAGAACAGCAGCAGGCCAGCACACAGCCTGCTCTGAGTGGTCCTGCAGCTCAGCCAAAGGGGAGCTGAGCCTTCAGCAGGGAAAGGAGGAAAGAGGAAAGCTGGCAGAGCAGGGACGCTCTCTGCTTTGTTTGCATTTAGCATCCTTAAAGTAACATCCCGATCCCTATCGCTAAGGCAGCCTATACCAGCACCCCTTCCCGACCCCCAGCCTCCCCTATGGGAACAGCATCATTAACCCCCAACATCCTGCCCCCGTGTGCCCCCAACCCCTTTCTTTTGTGCTCTGTGAGTTCCCTCACCCTCACGGACGGCTGCAGATCTCTCCGAAGGGATGCACACACACCCAAAGCACCCGAGGACAGCCTCCCCTGCTTCCCCCTTCCCAGCCCCGCGGTGGGATTTCAGCACGGCCTACCTTCCGAGCATGCCAGGTCGGGAAGGCGGGCAGCAGCCGGGAGCAGGGGCTGTGAATCAGCAGAGAGGTGCCCGTGACAGGGCTGCATGCTGGGGCTGAGCCTCCTCCGCCGCCACGTTGCTATGCGATCACATCGCCGGGACCAGCAGCATCTTTCCAGCACGCCGAGATACCCTTGGGTCGGTGCCGGAGGGAGGAACAAGGACAACCCCGTGCTGTTTGGACCCTTTGGAGGTCCTTTGGCCACCAGCCCGAAGGAGGGGAGGGAGAGCAGCGGGGATGCGAAGGCAGAGACACGCGCAGGAGGAGGAGGAGACAAAATACACATGGAGAGAGAAGGGAGGGGGGGGGGGGGAGAGAGAAAAAAAGGGAGGGGGCTGGAAGGCAATCAACACAAAAGGCACCACGCTCTGACCTCTGGACACCCAGCACAGCAGCCAGGTTCAGGTGTGCATCCCACTGCTCAGTGGGGGATCTCATTGTGTATGGCCACGCACCTGTGCTGGTAATTGCCAGGCATGGTCACCTTGGTCCTGACCTGCAGTTTGCAGTGAGGTTTAGAGTTTATTTTTTAAAATGGGCTGTTCTTAAGGTAAGGAGTGAAAACAAGAGGAGAGCTTGATTTCTGATACGCTGCCTTTTCTCCTTTGAGAAGACAAAGGAAGAGCCGGGAAAAAATCCTTAACCAAAGGTATTTAAACACGAGGGTGTTGTCAGAGAGCAGAGGCAGAAGCTGAGGGTAGGAGCAGAGCTGGAATTTGGGTTCCAGTCCACATATAACATCATGTGTGGATCTTTGGGTCCTCCCAGGCAAGGCATTTGAACTCTGTCAGTGGTGTTATTTTCACATTATGGGATAAGAAGCCGAGCTCAATGAGTTGGCCGTGCAGATCTGATCCCCATCCCATGCTGTCACTGCTGGGTTATCTCAACCTGGGAAACATCAGCTCAGGTGATGCTTCAGTTGGGTTGGGGACCCTGAGAACAACACTCTGATGCCATAACGCTGCTGTGAGGTGGATACAAAGGGATCAACCTGAGGACAGGTAGGCACTGCACGCCTCCTGCTTTCAAAGCCTCAATAGCATCTACCTCCACAACAGCCACAGCTGTGCAGCAAAACCTGCCCTGAAAAGCTGTATTTAAAGTATAAAAAAAAAAACCCAAGCCCTGGGTATGGACTGGGAGGCGGACCAGGACTGTCTCTCTCCTGGGCTATTTTCGTGCATGCTCACTCACAAATAACTGCTAGGTTAGCTGAGGAGAGCGAGGGGAGGGGGGGGAACAGCACTGGAAGGGTTGCCTAATCACTGGAGGCATTCAAAGCCAGGCTGGATGTGGCTCTGGGCAGCCTGGTCTGCTGGTTGGTGGCCCTGCACATAGCAGGGGGTTGGAACTGGATGAGCATTGTGCTCCTTTTCAACACAGGCCATTCTATGGGTTGCCCAGCAGTCCCAGTCCCACCACTGCACAGAGGGATGTGAGCAGATCAAAGTGCATCTGTCACCAACACTGTAAGGAACATGACAACATGCATGAACAAAGCAAGGACGTATCAAGCTGAGTTACACATGCACAGGAGATGGACATCAGCACACAGACACGAGCAGACAGCAGGAACGGCAAAAATAAGGCACTTTGCAGTACGTGTCCCTGCACTATCAATAATTTAGGATGCAGCAAAATACACAGTTTAGGAACAGGAGGATGCAACAGGAAATAATCTCTTGTGTCAGCTTTGCTTAAGTTCTGAGACAAACCAGAATCTCTGGTGGATGACTTGCCTGCACGGCTGGGAGCATCATCCCAGGGCCCTGGTACCTTGTGCTGTGAGGACATAATTAGGACAAACAGCCTGGCAAGTCAGGACTCAAAGGAAATCAGGGAGACATGCTCTGATCTGCCATAAACACGGCCCTTCACATGAGTGCTGCCACCCTATGAAGTGTGTGGGGGAAGTCTGTGAGAAGGAATGCTGGATTTGATATGCCTCCAGTTCTGAAGATAACCCCAATGCCACCTCCTGTGGAACTCCAGGAACCCCCCATCCACCAACACTCCATACCTTGGTTTGCCTCGTTCATGCTGTACTAATCAGCAAAGGCTCATCTCAACAACAAAATTAGCAATCCCCATTGACCAGAAGGGACATCCCAACATGCACAGTGCTAAATAAAACACAGATATACAACAGACCAAATCCAGGTAGGTTTCATAAGACGTGACCCAGAAGTGCAATTAGTTCTGATTGACACCAGCGATGCTCAGTCTTAAACAGCGGAGCAGAAATCGATTTAAATCACTGAAACAGAGCTCGATGTTCCTGGGTGAAGTTGGAACCATTCACACTGACTGAACGTCAACATCTTACAGCCTAAAGAAATGCTGTTTCTTCCCAAGTGCCACCAAACCCTGTGCTTTGCTGAGATGGAAGCTCCCTCCTCTGGGCTCCACCTATCTGAAACAACAGAAGGGACTGAATTCTGCCATGGCAGTCCGTACCAAACTGACAGCGATGCATTTTTGATGCAGGATCATTGATGGGAGGGGTCATACAGTGTCCACCTTCAGAAAGCCAGAAGGGATGGACCTCACACAAAGGGACAGAGCTGCTCCATGCCCAGACATCAGGGAGGTAACCGTGCTTGGGAAGGGAACACAGAGGGCCTTATTGCAATGAGAAGAAATAAACCCCAAATCAGGAGCCCTACATTCAGCTTGAGACAAATATAAGAACGGTTGCCCAGACATCAAACCCTACTGTTCCTCCATCTGCATAAAGAAAATGATGTCAAGTAAATAACTAACTCTTTTGTGAGCATCCATAAACACCCAGATCTCCCAAGCACAGATCCCACGCTGTCTGAAGTATTTAGGAAAGCAGCAGGAGGGTTTCTAAAAGCGTGATACCTGGGGTGAGAGAAGGGGGGGAGCTGTGCAGGCAGGCAGCACGGAGCAGAGCAGACCCCTCTGTGTTTGTTCCTGCAGCAGCACTGGAGCAGCCCTGCCTGGGAACGAGAAAAGAGGAGGGAGGAAATCTGTTCAGAGCAGTGAGCAAATGGGGGAAAAGAATTTGAGAGAGGAAAAAAGCAGCAGAAAGGAGATAGGGCTAGAGAAAGCAAAAACGTGACAGAGAAAAGGCAGACAGGCTTTCAGGGGCTTTTTGTTGTTGTTCTTCAGAGGCTGTCAGCACATTTGTGATGTGCTCTCCAATCCCTCTCTGCTCTCCAGGCTCTGCACACAGAGGCAGGAAAGCAATCAGGCAGGGGCTGCTGAAATTCACTTCGACGCAGAACAGAGGTGCCCTAAGAGAAAGGAAACTGCTTAGTGATCCATGTGCAGGCAGCTGGAGCGGGGATGGCATGGGCACGGGATGTGTGAAGAGGGCTGGGATAAACCTGCAAGGATTCCTGGAGAGTGGGCATTCAGGGCTTACAGGTAAGCCACACATACAAGCAGGAAGGAATACTGCTGTATTCCTTAAAGGAAGAGCCCAAATGCATTAGACAACAAAATATTCACCTTTTTGTCCAAACCCAGTGCCTGGGGCTCAGGAACTGCACCATGTAACAGCATCTTCACTCCCCACCTCCTGCACAGCACTAAGCAGCCTGCTCTGTGCCACACCTCTGACAGTGCCCACTGCAGGCTGATGGGGTCGATTCTTTAAGCAGCAGAACAGCATCCCATCTGAGCATACAGAGTTCTAACGCTGTCAGGATCAGAATTGTATTTCGAGGCTGTGGAAGGTATCCACTGCTTTGTGGATGTGTTTGCAGTGAGCTTGGAAGGCGAGCAAACTGGCAGCAAATTTATCAAGGCATTAAAAAAATACCTTTGCTGTGGGAATCTTTTGCTCATATAGAACACAAAACCAAGAACAGAAATAAGGCAGCATCACAAATCAGCACTTCACTGAAACCACCAGTACTGCTCAGGTACTTCAGTGCCTGCCCCAACCATCACAGTTAGCTGGGAGTTATGGCACAGCTCTGATAGCTGGGTGCAGATCTCAGGGCTCCAGAGCCTAATGCCACCTGACCTTAATGACCTCCTCAATAAACACATCAGAACAAGTTGTAACTGTTATTCTGAAGATCAGAGCCATGATGAGGGACGTCTTTCCTAGAAGTCGATATTTGGAGACTTGGTTCTTTCAAGATACTCATCCTCCAGAGCAAGCTTGTTTCCAAAACCTGTTGTTCTCCCAGGCTGAAGCATCCTCCACCTGAAGAGCCCACAAGGAGCTCCTCACACACTCTCCCCCAGGAGCCACAGAGCTACAAAGAAAATCAGGTCAGCATGCATTATTAATTACAAGCTATCAGAGGATCTAGGACCACAGCCAGGGAGAGGAGCTCTCTACAGAACCTTTAACACAGTTGAAGATGAACTCTCAGCAGGGTCACAGTCCTCAGTTTCCCTTATTCCTCTTCTCCTCGCTGCAAAAACTGGTGATAAACCACAGTGATCAGGAGGTGACTGCTTTGCCTGAAGGGCTTATAGCTGAGCTTCAACTCAAAGGCAAAGGAAGCAAAGTGAGGAGACATGGGATAGAGGTACCAGTGTGTAAACATTAGTGGAAAACAGCACAGAGGTGAGTTTTATTTTTGGTACAGTTAAATGTTATTAAAGGGCTCAGAACATACATGCTGGCAGTTGTTGGAGCTGCAGTGTAAGCCTCAGAGGTTCGATTTTGAGTGGCTACAGCTGTACCACCTTCTAAATCCTTGGGTCCTGATTTATTCATGGCATTAGGAATGCAAAATGCAAGCAGAGGGAAGTAGGCCAGCAAGAGAATAGAAAGCAGGGACACAGAGGAATCAGTTTCCTCATTCCAGCTGAAAACAGGTTGAAATTGTTAACTCCTTCAGAGCAAGCTGACTCTATGCAAGAGCAACACTGCCCAATGTAAAAGGATGTATACATAATCAAGGTTTTGTAGGGAGATGAGTAATATAAACACAAAGCAAACGTGGCTTCACAAAAGGAATTCAGCTTAACTTGAGCCTGAGCCATTCACATCTGGATGTGTAATGCCCAGGTCACTGTGCCTTAAGGAATTGAGGGCTTGGGTTTGGGAACCAGCTGCTCAGCTGGTGTTTTGGGAGCACCTCACCTGGCTATTAGAAAGGTAAAGAAGAAAAGACTGAAAGAACTATTCATCCCTCATTCTTCCCATCAATAAATATGACAGTTTCTATTATATTGTCCTAGAGCACACACAAGGCAGAAGTACTACAACTGGCAGAGAAGGGCACTAGAGACAAATCATTGATTTCTTTCCTAACTTATGAAGAAATTGACAGAGCTCGACTACCTTAATTTTAGTCCTCAAGCAGATGCTGTGGTCAGACAAACTTTTGAGCATATGCTTGTAATAGTAAGTTGTCTACAAAATTTACCATGTTGGACAGTAAGAGCAGGAAAAAAGAGAGCAGCAACTTTTCTAATGGGCCCATTCTTCCATGTAAGTGGAGAGGTAGTAGAGAAAAAGTCTTATCTGGAAGAGAAGTGTCCAGATGTGAAAGAATGACCTACAAAAGTCCATCCCATGCACCTGAATAACAGAACTGTACCCAGTTTGTTCTCAGCACAAAATAGGACTGGTGGTGCCACAACTGCCTTCCATAGCACAATCCTGTTATTTCTGAATAAAACACCTACAAAGGTTAAGAAAAAAATGGATCAAGGATGAACAACTATGCAATGTTCAGTAGCTCACATAGCATTTTGCTACTAGCATCTTTAAAAACATTTACATACATCAGACACCTTTCAGAACACAGGCATCTTCCCCAACAGAAAGGAAGTCTCTGTCACTCACCTTCTGAGCATTTACAACCACATTAGTGGTGAGATAATTGGAGACCTCAGTTCATCTGACTTCTACTTAGTGTTAAAATAGAATACGAGAGGACGCTTTTTTTTTTTAAATCAGAGATCCTTCAAAATGGCATTTCTGAAGTATTTTTACAGAATATATATATATGTACACATTTAATATACAACATTATAGAACTAAAAACACAAGAAGGAAAGCTTATCAATAGGAAATGGTGAGCCAGTGGCAATTCTGTTCAGCTGTTGAAGGTCACCAGTAAACCAGTGGTGCACAAAGTTCTTCAAGTGCATTACAAGAACATTACAAGCAAAGGTATCACAAAGTCTCTTCTGGAAGACTCATAACAGAAGTGAAGTTCAGGAGGGTCAGTCTGGCCATCCTGTTATGACACAGCATGTACATGGCACAGCAGGGAGCTGGGAAACATGCAGTCCTCCAGTCCAGCATAAAATCAGTTGTCCAGGGTACTGTGCAAGTTGTCAGGGAAGAAAGAGGAGGGTCATATCAATATCTTCTAAATGAGGCAGCACTTCTCGCTGCAGCTTTGAGATGGAAAGTGTTTTTTCCCTTCAGATATTCCAACAAAGAAAAATGAAGATGAAAAACAGGGATGTTACATATCACAGCAGCTCAGCAGCCTCAGGCAAAAGAAGTTCAGCAGGAAATAAGGGGGTTCAGAGCTGGTGAACCAAAACAGCCTAAATGTTCCTTCTCTATTTTTGCTTTCCTAACACAGATGCCAGCACGAAAATGAAGGCAAGCATAATTGCTCTGTTTCTTTCCTCTGAGGAAGCAAGAATTACTGACACAGTCTGCTAATGTTCTGTTTCCCTACTCCAGATGACAAAAAGGCTCCAACAAGTCCTAGAGTCACACTTTCTTATCCTCTTTACTCTGAGAGGCCTTGGAAACACGATTGATGCTGCTTTCAATGAAGAGCTTCAGGCCCTCTAAACCTTGCCCATAGAGATATCTCAGATACCAGTTCCACTTCTTCCCCTGAAAAAGGAGAAAAGAGTAGTCAGACACACAGGACACAGCTTTGGCTTTCTTAAGCCAATCTGAAGAATTATGCAAATTTAACCTGCCACAGTTTGACAATAACCATCCTGGCCCATAAACACTCAACAGGTGTACAGGGGTCTCACCCTGTACCTAGATGTACACTTTTCACTTACATATTCCCTGTTCTTAGCTTGAACATTAAAAAAATCATGATCTTATTTAATACGGAAGATGTTCATAAACCCCAATTCTAAGAGAGCAACATTGTTCGATCAACAGCAAAAAATGTGAAAGACCAAATTCACATGGATTTGAAGTCTTCATTCACTAAACAGGGTGATTCTTCCAAATCAGGTTTGAAGCACACCACAATACAGGAAAGGAAACAAACTGCATGACAGTTGTTCAGTGTGTACAGAGGTACACATTCATCTCAAATTTAATATTCTGTAGGTTCACTGGTTGTAGAAATTCTGCTTCAAGCACACCAGAAGCACAGCATTTTTGAAGCTGATCAACATCTCCTTCCACCAGCCCACTCCCCCCATATTCTCTACTAAGTAGCTGATAAAAGTTTCCTTATTTTTGTGAAAACAGGCATTTTACCTTAATTAGATTGAAGTTGAAGGTGGTATCATCTGGCCAGGCCTTGAGAAAATAAAGAACAGTGTCAAGTATGTATATCAAAAGAACATGCAGCATGGCTAGGCCACTGCTTGCTCCCCCTCATAAATCAGGAATTCTAGGTATGCAAAGTCAGATATTATCTTTCAGAACGAGCTTCCAGCATTACACCTGGCCAAGTCCACACGTGGCAAGGCAATGAGGAGACTCATGCTGCAGCATTACTGGGTTGCAACAGAGATACACATCAGTGTCTTTAGCAACTTTATCTGCACAGCATAAAAGGCATCCCTGCAAAACAGCTGCACTGGATGACCTTAGAGGTCTTTTCCAACCTTGGGGATTCTATTAATTTCCAGATAAATAATTACCCTCAATGAAACAAGGAAGGAAGAGATACCATACTGACAATCAGCTTAGTGCTTGCGTTCTCAAAGTGTGCTGCAGAGCAGCGCCCTCTGGTGCTCAGCACTGAAGTATTTAAGATAGCACTGCAGCTAAACATTTTTTCTTGTCTTGGTATTGCAGTGAAAAGAAGAGTTCTTCAGAATTATGTTGTTGGGCTTTTTTAAAACTTACAAAAGTTACAAGGAAAAAGGACCTAGATGAAGAAATAAATACTAGTTCTGCTATAGCAAGAGAAAGACTAAAGAAATAGTTTTATTAACTTGTATTAAAAAAATTTCACCTGTCAAAGGGAAAACTTGGGTTTAAGCCAGCAGTAACAAAGTACTCAGGTTCAAGACACTAAGCAGGTAAGCCAAGGCAATTTTGTAGTATACCTAACCAGTATTCTTCACTTTACATTTAACCTAAGGTTACTGTGTCTCATTCTAGGAGCATGCTTGCAGTCTGCCAGCAATCTTTGCAACAAAACAGCAGCTTTGTGCACCTCCTGGATGGCCTACAAAGCCTGATCTCTGAGAGCAACATGCATTTCTTAAACAGTAACAACTCTGGCAAGCTGCTCCCTCCACTGTTCATTAACAGTAGTAACGTGAGGGTATTTGGAATTCAGCTAATAGAATTTGCATAGGATGTTAGAGTACATCATGATTTATCCTGTACTTGGAAGCAGCTACATGTATTTAGACCATTCTCAAAAGGCAAAGCAAAAGCCAGAAAGCACAGCTACAAGTTCTGCTGTGAGTACCCAAATACAACTGAAATATGCATTTCTGGGAGTTTAAAAGTTTGTCATGCACTGTATTCTGTGAAGCAGGTAACTGAATTAGTTCATTTTTTCACTATTTATCCATTTTAGTTGTACCCCAAAAATGCACAAATCAACATCGAGCTGTTTTTACTCAGCAAACACTGAGAGACTCTTTAGAGAAAAGATCACTGCACCATTTGGTGCTGCCAAAGACCAAGGTATTCACCTACAACATTACCTGCTGCAGGAAGTCAACAGCATAGCACATCAGAGCTGGGTGGTAGACAATATTGAAGCTGTTTTTGTATTCCTCCACTCCAGTTTTCTTCAGCAATTCATCATCCAGACAAATGCCTTGAGGATGATTATCCTTCTGGAATGCACTGGATGTCCACAGACAACCCACCATGGCTATGATGTACTGGTTATACTCTTGATATGTCTGGCTACTGAACTTGAATTGCTGTATTTTCTAAGGAACAAGAAAAAAAACAGTCAAAAATGCATTGTCCTGGTTTCAGTTGGGACAGAGTTGATTTTCTTCTGGTGTCTGGCATGATGCTACATTTTGGCTTCAGGACAACTACACCAGTAACATACTGATATTTTAGTTGCTGCTGAGCAATACTGTGTGGAGCCAAGAATGTTTCAGCTTCTTGTATTGTCCCTACCAAGGGGTACACGAGCTGGGATGGGACAGAGCCAGGACAGCTGAGCCAAACTGGCCAGAAGGGATATTTCACACCACATGACATCATGTGAATTGGCTATCATATGACATATGGGGTGAATTGGCTGGACTGGGGAGGGGAGGAGGGTGGCATTGAAAGAAGCCTGCTGCTGCTCAGAGACTGGCTGGGTATCACTCAGCAAGAGGAAAGTAACTGGCTGTGCATAAAGTATATAAATATATAAAATCATTACTATTATTTCTGTGCCTTTTCTGTCTTTGCAAATTATTTTATTATCTCTCCCATAAAATTGCACTTCTTGTCTCCACCCAGTTCTCTCCCTGTCCCACTGGGAGGGTTGGGGTGAGTGAATGAATGGCTGTGTGGTGCTCAGCTGACTACCAGGTCAAACCACAACAAGAATCTTTGAGCAGCTGGACATTCCCTGCAGTCCTTAAGAACACTATCAAAGTGCCTTCCTCCTATTGAACCCAGTTCCTTAGGAAGGTCCATCCTAGAACACAACAGATACCTTTTTACTCATCTCATTCTCTTTTGCAGCTATCAAGTTGGTTCTATACCTAAAACAAAACAAATAACAAGAGTTAGTAAGTTTTACTGACACCTATCTGTCAGTGCTGAGAAAAACACTGGAGAAGTGTTTACAGAGTGAAGGAAGGTTTTCTTAATATAAGAGACCATCCAGTTTTCCTCTTCTAGTCAAAAGAGAAGGAGGAAAATAAAAATCAAAGGGACTTGATCACTTGGTACAGACTCAGTTTTCCCTGAGGGAGTAAGGATGAGTCTGCTAAGATTCATGTCTTGGATGAGTAACACACAACTGAGCTTGCCAGAGACAAACTTTCAGAAAGCCTATGCACAAGAATCAGCATAGTCCTGAAATGAGCAGAAAAATGCAGTGTATCTTTAAGATGAAAGACTTTCATTCACTAAGCAGAGAAACGGAAGTCACTGGAAGTAACACAACTTGACAGTTGTTCTATATAATAAGCACTAGCTCCTCTCATTTCCCAGAGAGCATCCTGTCACGTTAATTACCCTGCAGACTCCTTAGAGAAAAAAGCCACATGGAGAGCCCTACGCCAGCTGTCAGCAATTGGCTACTCTTCTTCTCAGATGCAGCCACTGGAATTAACAGGGCCAAAAACAGTAGGAGTGGATCCTGCAGAGCTAAGCAGTGCTTCTGTGAGACCTGTGGGCACGAGATAGGCCTAAATTCCCAAACATTTTCAGGGTGGCAAGAGTGCTTCCTACTCAGCACAGTATTCACAAGGGAAAATCCAAATCTGCTGGTCAGAGCACAGGACTAAGAAGTTTAATGCTTAACTGCTAATGATTGCAAGCTCTTTGTTGCTAGGCAACATAAATCCTCTCAGAACTATATCAAATTCCTTCCTTTACATATTAGTGATAACATTAGGAAAGGTCAGAATGCTGCCATTTAGGATAACAGAGCAGGGAACAAAATGCAAGTTATAGCTATAAAATATTTTACCATGAATGCTGAACACATTTCATCTTTGCCTTGCATAAGGAGAAAGTATAGATTTCAATTTCAGATTTATAGACCCAAATAATTTCATTTTCAAAAACTCAAAAAAGACAACAAGAAAAACCCCTACAGCCCACACCATTTGTAGTACCTGTACATGATGTAGCAGAGCTGATTTAAGTTGACAGAATCCATGCTGAGCAGTGCTGGGTAGAAAACTCCAGCAGGAGGCATTATCAGCAACGGCAGTTTGTACTTCAGATATATGTCACACACCTGCAGAAAACCAGCAGATCTAGGCAGATTATTACTGCCATTAACAAACCCCCAAACATCTAGGAGCAAAAGAGAGCACGATGCTGCATTCTAGCCAGCTCCATCAACTTGATCTAGGAGGAACTGTCCCACTCCAACCTTCTACTCGTTTCCTCCAGGCACAAGGCATTTATCCACTCTCAGCTCACATCTCAGTCTGTTTTCACCATTTAAGTATCCCATAATGCTGGTATTTGGTTGCTCCTTGGGTAACATTTACTTAGGCCCCTCTAAAATAGAGCCCATTTGTTTTGCTCATTTAACAAACATTTTTGTTAGGAGAAGTTCCCAGCCCTGTCATTGTTTCCTTAACTCTTTGCAACAGTATCCAAGTTGTAAGAGCAATAACAGCATGGCTGAATTCACCAGGCAGTAAACACATCTACAGAGAAGATATAGGGAAGCTAGAATAGATTTAACACTATTCACTGCTGGGGGAAAAACTATAATGGAACATTTAAAGAACATTCTGGCAATTAATCAAAGCTTAAACCATATTTGGGAAGGTGACTTTACATTTCAGCCAGAAAAAAGATGCAAACAGCCTCAGGGAAATGGGATTGTGAAAGACAAAGCAAACGGAACACATACGGTCTCATAGAAGTCCAGGATGAAGTGCAGTAAGAAGGTATGACTCTTCTCCAAGTGCAATGCAGCAGTAGAAATCCGTCCCACAAAGTTGATGAGTTCAGCCACCCCACTCACTAGTCCAGAAAGGGTGGTATTCCTGCAGCAGTACACAGGGAATATTACCCCACACACCTCTTCACAAAAGGTAGAAATATACAAAAGAAGCAGCTAAGTTATTTTTCTGCCCTGCCATCCCCAATTATTTGTTTTTTTTTTTTTTTTTAAGTATATCCAGTAGTAGATTGTTACCCACACAATTACAGACATGACCCAGCTGTCAGTGTTACAAGGATCTTGAGTTCTGGACATATCAACTTTCAGTGCCAATATTTTTAATTCAGAAGTAAAAACCAGGACCTACAAGGTAGCTTGCAATATAGCAGAAGCATTACAGCATTACCAACTGATCTTAGCATTAGGTAACAGACATATTAAGATATGCTTTAGACAAGCTTACAGAGAACTGAGTTGAGAATCAGACTCTGAATCCAGCTGAACCACGTGCCAGTTTAACCAGTTCTGTAGCAACTCTTTCAGACTCTCCAGAACACTGCACTGTAGGATTTAAAAAAGACAACAAATTGTTGAAAATTTACAGAAGAACACTAAACAGGATGCCCTGAGAATTAAAGCATACAAGAAAATGTACCAAGACTTTCTCAAAGAGAAGTGAATATCTGTGGTCTCCCTTTAAACTAGATGTATACATTATATAGCTTTTGCTGGAGAATGAGAGTTTCAAATTCTGTTAGAACTGCAATAAAAACCAGCTACTGCCTTTCATACTATCAGACAGTTTTTTCTAAATCCAGTGCCTCAAGTTGCTCCAGTCAAAATATAAGATGTCTTAAAAGACACTCAAATTTCCAGAGAAGTTACATCATAAGAACATTTTACCTATGTTTGGGCAGACTTCTCCCTGTACAGCCCTTCAGATTGTTACACTTTATACAAATGCAGATGCAGTACCAATTAGAAGTAAATAGCCACTCACTCAAGTTACCTTAAAGTAAAGGGATGATGTGAAGAAGAGCTGTGCCAGGGGATCGCAGAGTTGTGATTTCATTTCTGGAATAAACAAGAAAGCAGCATGCTATCTGTGCTTAAATTGTTCCCCTGAGATCAGACACTGTCCAACCTCATGCAAAAGATCTGCAACACATACCAGAGAAGGTACTGAGGGGGATCCAACTGATGAGTTGGAGGATTTGTGATCGGCAGGAAACACCATCCCAGAGAGGAAGACTCCTGTATAGGAACTCCTCACAGGAAGGAAATCCCTCCTAGAAAGCAGAAGGTGAGCATTCAGAAATTCGTCTCCAGATCATCCTGGAGAAGGAAGAGGTTTCATGTAATGTAATGTAATTCTCCAGGACACTCAAATTACCATTCCTGTAGAAATCACAATTATCTCCAGAATATTGGCTCCCTATTGGAAAGGGTATTTTTAAAAATAAGTCTTTGGGCGACTTCAGACACTGCCATTTCTTAGTTAAACTCCAGGAAGCACACAAGTCGCAAATGTACTTTAAAAAACTTCATGAAACCCTTGTTTTCCACATAGCAGGCACTTACTTGTAAGAAACACTCTGCCTTGTAGGCGGTTTCCAGGAAGCCTTTGAATTCTTCTTCATGTTGGTTATTATCAACTACACACCAGGTGCACTCTGAAGAGAAGAGAGTAATGCATATGAACAAGAGCACAGCAAGAATAAGCAAAGCCAGAAATAAAATTTAACTCTTATGCAGTATTTGTTTTAACACCACACAATTAGCACTATAAATCCAAATGGCAAAGTACTATTATCAAATGATGAAAAAGCTTCAGACAACCTTAACCACCCCACTATGAGAGGTTATATTAAGTTCTTACCTTCCTGAAGAGTCTGTCCCATCCAATAGTAGAGCCTCAGATAAGCAGATTCATCTTTGCTGCAGTTCATGTAGTGAAGCAATAACGGGTTTGTTAGCACTGAGCCCATCTGGGAAGGAAACTGCAAGAACAGGGGCAACATAAATAAACAAAACTAAACTAGTTATTTTGTGTTTATATTTGTAAGTTGCCACAGGCTCTCATGCTATCAGAGCTGTCCAATCATTCATTGGTAGAAAGATCATCCTCCAGGCCTCCTGCTCACCAGCCTCAGGACTAGATGCTCTTTCTGAATTAGGTTGCCCACACACTAGATACCTATAAGAGCACAAAGATCTCTTGTTTTCTCCAAAGCATGCACAGAGCTTGTTGAGACCTTCCTGCCACTCACCTCCAGGCGGTGGATATTTTGTAGGAGTTGGGGAAAGGTCCGCAGCTGCTCCACTGGAAAAGATCTGTTAGCACTGAATGAATCAACACGGCTCATTTTCCCACCCACCACTAAATTCTGTGCGTTGGCACTGCTTGCAGGTACAATCAACTGGGTATTCCATTTCTGTAGGAAAGAAACAAACAAACAGCAGTGACTCAGCTGTGCGTTTGTGCCCACTGTTCACAAAGATCCTGTTATGCAAAAAAAAAATGCATTCAGGCTTCCATTACAGCGGGTACGCTGCATTTCCATATAGCTGTCCCACCCTTCAGAGCTCTGAAATAATACCCAGCTCCCACTATTTGCCATTACTCATCATGAAAACAGCTGTTTGGCAGCTTCCTGAGGAGGAAAACCTACTCTTTTTCGTGAGTGAGGTTGAGCTGTGCCTAGAAGCAATGGTTGGGGCACTGTAGAATTGGCCTGGTTTCTTTGCCTTACAGCGCTGATTGCTGCTTTCCAAGGGCCGTCTGCATTCTTGAAATAAGCCTGAAAACAAAAGTCAGAAACATATGCAAGAAGCCAAATTAAGACAAAGCAACAGAAAGACCAGGTTCTATTCCAGCAGACATCACAGTGATGTATATACACTCATCTATGCCTGACAGACCAAGAGGCTGGGGTTTGACAGCAAGTTACTGTCACTCTTTGCATTCATTATCTTTTAACTGTACTTCGTGGTTCCACTTTCATGTTTCTTCTGAAACACCCCCTTTTTTCATAAGGGAATTCCAATATTTATAGTTCTTATTAAGATCAATCATCTGTTCATAGAGTAAATCTCAAGTACACACTACAAGAAAACTATGGCAAAGGAATGCTTGTACAAGTTATAAGGAAGACTTCTTGAGTTCAGTCAAACCAAACAACTCAATGAGTAATTGAGCTCTCAAATAGATATCACAGCTAAAATGAAATTGATGAATTATGTCCAACATCTTTTCCGCACAAAACTTATTTTTGTCGCTTCATTTACATTTAACTCCAATCAAGCCCCAAACTACTGTAGGAACATCCAGGAAATAGTTAAACTTCACTGTTAAATCATGCTACAGCACAAGCAGAAAGCTCATCACAAATACTGTCACAAGTACTGATTTTAGATAGATTAAATCTGATTCCTCACCTTCATTTTCTGAGGAAGGGTTATGGATACCAGCTCAGGACAGAAAAGCTTATAAAGTGATAGCAGAGCCTGCAGATGAGGTTGCATACCCTGTCAAGAAAACAGAGGAAAGATGTGATACGTTTTTAATATAGATATCAAATATTGTATTTACAAAGCAGAAACACTCATTACTGGAAGCTTTCACAAGTACACATCAGTAAGTAACTAGAGGTATATGATGAATAGAGTAAAACTGCCAGTGAAATACTGTAGGAGGGATTAGGAGAAAGGATTTCCTACTGTCATAGCTCTAATAAGAAATTTAACATAAAAACCTATTAAAAAATACAGCTCTCTGCAGATTAAATGCTCCAAGTGTTCCTGTAACTACATAGCTCCACTTATACTTCTCTAGTAACTGTAATTACCTCTAAAGCAATTTTAGTTTCTTACAAAAAGGCAGCAGGTACTACATAACCTTATATTTCCCAGTAATTTTTAATAAAGCTTGGAACAGGAAATTAAAGAAGGTAACAGATAAGTGAAACTAATTTGCTCTACTACATCTCTATAAAACATACAGTTTTATACACATCATTGCACCTGCTCACAACAACAGAAAAAAACAAAATATGAGAACTCAGGATGCACATGCAGGTAGAGAAGCTCAGATGCTAGAAAGATGACAGCCTACTGCTCCAAGCCTAATCCCATCCTAAGCTGCTCGCCTCTTTTCTCTGCTCTGTAAGGACACTCAGAAGCTGCACCATTCAGCACAGTTTCAGCCTCTACAAGATTTGAAATGAACTTGCCATTTTTGATTGGAGATCAAGGAGTCGCCTGACCCGAAAAGGCTTGACTGGAAAAACAATTGAGAAAGTTAGAAATTAAAAAACCCACCACTTTTATTCAGCATTTAAGTGAAAATGAGATACAACTCCTATTGGTATGGCAAAGCTAGCAGAAACAGCCAGTATTATTTCTGAGCTAATGGACAGGTTTCCACTTCATCAAGTATGATACAAATCAGATAGAATTATAGCTAAGTCCTCCTTGACTGCACTGCCTGGTCATTGTATTAGCTCCACTGGAAGATATGGCAGCACCAGTACACAGAATAAGAAACAAAATGGTATTTCATCTCACACAGATGAGGACTCTCACCATTTTCTTTCCTGGTCAGCAGGTAGAGCACATGGCAGATGTAGGGACACTGCAAAGAAAAGGCAGCAATGAACCTGTCTTGCTGATGCAAACCACTAACCAGGATACACTGGAGGTGACGCCCCTTCCATAAAGGCTTCACAAGTTAATACTGCTTCATTCCATCTGCTGCCTCAAGTCAGCACTGCATCCCCACTGAGGGGCAGGTTACCTTACTTTCCATAAGAAGCAGCACATTCCTACATGTCACATATGTTATCTAAACAAATTTGCTATATGTCCATTATATGCAGTTTTCATAGTAACCAGACCACTCAGTGACCTCTTGTCCTAGTTTTGAGAATGATTTATGCATCTCAGAGATCAGCAGTGAAAGTTTCCAAAGCAAAAGTTACCCTTAAGTAAAAATAATACATTAATGCTTACTACAACAGAGGCTGCAATGGTCTAAGTTTGGCTCAGCTGTACTTGAAAATGCTAATTGAAGATTTAACTTAAATCCAGTTTCCTGAAAAGACTACAACTGATGTTAAACAATTGAAAATTTGGTTGACAGTGTAATCAGAACTTTGAGTCTTAAACCCAAAGTATTCTTAACTGGATTAATATTACCAATTTCATGTCTAACACAACTCCAGTATTACCTGAATTGAATCTAGCTATTTCAGCATCCCAGCACCCAGATTTTACAGATACCTTACAGCACAAAGCTCCTCAGTACCTGTTCTTATTTAAGCTATGCTCCCAACCAACAAAGAACAGCATTTTGAGTTTCCCATCATTCAATAAACATTTCTCCAGAAGGTTGCTGGGTTCTTTTTTGCCCCAGGTACACAAGTCAGCTTTTCCTTCTCAGGAGTAAAAGGACTTTATCTGATGTCCTATAGAAGCTGTTCCAGGCACTGCAGCATACACTGTAGCTGTGTGTATGAGATTATCAGTTCTTGAAATCATTTTAACAACCAGACCACATTATTCAAACTGAAACAACTTAGTGCTTTCCTGTTTCTGACTCTGAAGTAACCAGCAATCTTTGAATCCAAAAGGAGAAAAGGAAAGTAAGTTCCACCAAAAAAATCCCTAGTTTATAGCTATTCCTGTCTAATTCTATCATTAATATGCAGACTACTAATTCAGACTTATTTTGTTCAATTTTGTATATTCGGTTCTTCTTACCAACTTCTCATCATTCAGGAAGAAAAAGAAGATGCCATAGAGGGCATGAACTTGTTCCTTCTGATCAATGAAGTCAAACATCGTGATCAGCCATCTTAGAAAAAGCAGCTGCAGACAGAAAACAGCCATCTTACATTAGGTTAGCAGGCAAAACCAGAACAGACAAGGCACTAGCCAGGTTAAGAAGAACAATCATTACAGCACATTCAAAGACAACCAGACAACTACAGTTAAACAACCAGCACTAATTCTGCTGTGGAAGAAAGCCAAACAGAACATCTATGGCCATACTGCAACAGAAAAACCATCAGTAATGAATATGTGCTAACCACTAAAAAATGATGCAAACCTTCAGCCTACATGAAGGCCAGAAGGACTGTCCTTAAAGGTTTTTACACTAGAGATATAAGACAAGTAGAAACTGTGCAAGTTTCCACTCAACTCCAAAGTGTCCCTCAGCTCCCACTGCCATTTCAGGTACAGGTCTCTCCAACAGCCTAAATGACAGCAGTTTATGCAGTAACTTTGTACATTAAAACCACAGCACTTCTGCTTCCTGCACATAACCTGTTCAGATACTCATCAACCCTGTGCAGAAACAGTAACTATAACAAACATGCATGAAGTTACCTGGATGTTGCTTGAGCATTTGCTGACACAGAACCAAGATACAGAAGAAACAACAGAACTTTCTGGTATTGCTGAGGCTGGGATCAGGCTCTTCAGTAAACGAGTGTTCACTCCATCAGCTGCAAAAAAAACACCATTGAAGATCAGATGCTGCTCACGTACCAGGTTCTTTAATATGGTTTTAAGGTTAGGTTAAGATCACCCCAGACAAAATTATTCAGAGAGTCTTTGCTTACAGTAACAGTGCACAAGAATCCATTAGGGACTATCTGTATCTCCAAAAGAAAAAAAGTCCAGATTAAAGAAAGAAAACAGCATATCTAGTATTTTAGCACTGAAACAGCCTCTAGACTCTTTGCAAGACAAAGAAAAGTAGCACATTTCTGGTAATATTAATGACCAATTCCTTCACCAGAAGAGTATATGAGTGCCAGCCAAACATCAGCCAATTACTGCCTTAGAGATAAGCCAAGCAACATGAATCAATAAAAGAACAAAATTACTTGCATAATAAGGAAAGAATCCTGCGTGCTCCTCTTGGATGGGAGAAAGAGGAAGGTCATCCTTTTTATTTAATACTACATTAATTTAGAAATACAAGTGGTGGCCACTATTTCTAAGAGAGCAACACAATGACACTGCTGAATTGATTGGCAGTACAATGCTCTAATTTTAGTGAGTTTCATTAACAGAGTTATGAAAGTGTCCTGGTTTTGCTTGGGATAAAGTTAATTTTCTTTGTGGTGGCTGGTACAGTGCCATGTTCTGGATTTAGGAGAAAAACTATGATGATAACACACTGATGTTTTAATTGTTGCTGAGCAGTGCTTACACTATTTCAAAAATGTTTCAGTTTCTTCCATCAGCAAAGCTGGCAGTGCACAAGAAGCAGGGTGGAGACAGAACCAGGAAAGCTGACCCAAACTGGCTAAAGGGATATTCCATACCACATGGCATCTGAACTCAGAATTCACACAGGAGTGTGCAAGGAAGATGATTTTTATACCAAACCCAACAGCCACTATAAATGTACCACCTCAAGCAGGTTCAGTTAGATGGGAAGGAGACATGCACCAAAGACATGCCAGCAGCCATAAACATTTTACCAAGTTTGCCACTGAGTGCCACATCTAGCAATACATCAAATCCTTCAGGGGGTAAACCTCTTTTCAGGGCAATGCTTTCCAGAGTAGACAAGTGTTTCTGCAGAACTTCACTCTTTTTCAGTGAAACTCGATCTTGAACTAGAAAAAAAACACAATGAAACAACTTCTGAAGTTAAATTGAAGTGTTTTAAACTTATCTGAATTACTCCTCTATGTAGTCCTTCTTGGAGGGCTTTCCACAGAATCATAGACTGGCCTGAGTTGAAAAGGACCACAATGATCATTCAGTTTCAACCCCCTGCTATGTGCAGGGTCACCAATCACCAGACCAGGCAGCCCAGAGCCACATCCAGCCTGGACCTGAATGCCTCCAGGATGTGGCATCCACAACCTATTCCAGTGCATCACCACCCCCTGAGTGAAAAACTTCCTCCTAAAATCTAACCTAAACCTCCCCTGTCTCAGTTTTAAAACCATTCCCCCTTGTCCTATCACTATCCACCCTCATAAACAGCTGTTCCCACTCTTGTTTATATACACCCTTCACGTACTGGAAGACCACAATGAGGTCTCCCCAGAGCCTTCTCTTTTCCAAGAAAAACAAGCTACATACAGCAAGCAAAAGAAAAAAACCTTTAAATACACTAACAAGTCAAGCTACTATAAAGCTCAGATGTTAGAATAAGGAACATTAGACATTAACAATCTTTACAAGTCTTCATAGTTAATCTTACATCTGCTCTCTTACTTTTCTCAAAGTAGCTCAGAGCTTGCTCAAGGGAGTCCTGCTCATTGTCATTTTTCTGATCACTCAGAGATCGATGACTCTGGGCACTTTTTCCAGTATCAACTGTCTCTCCTTTCCTCCAAGCAGAGAGATCAGTCTGATTGCTGTGGTGAACTTGCAGAGGTCGCTTGGAGTGCTTAGAACTCTGCCTTCGTTGCATCTTCTCAGACTTTCAGTTGAGATGGGAGAATTCCACTCATTTGTCACATGGGTTCTGGTCCTTCATTGCAAAGGGGGAAGCAGACAGATCAAGTGTTGAAGAGCAAGTTTCCTGCAAGAAAAGAAAACAAGTGTTTTCCTAACAAACTGATTTTATCGGGATACTGGATAAGGTAACAGCAGCAGTTCTCACAGCAAATCATTTATAGCAGTCAGTCACTGAATGATTCACACACAAAGGTGTTTTGAATTGAGAAATTTTCTTAAAATTAAGAAAGGGATGATAAAAATCCACCAGATCTAACACTAATGTTCTTTAAATAAAGCTCATTTGATGAAGTGTTACATTGTCTTTTGATCCAAAACCAACATAACCAGACAGCAAACAATACAAAAAGAAAGCCAATCCAGTGCATAAATTAAACGGATAAGAAAACTGTGAACAGCCTTATTACTGTACATGGCAACACAGTCAGCCAACAGACAGCAGCTTCCTGAAAGCTGATGTCCAGATTTTAAAGGATTAAAGCACCCTTCTTCCTGTTCTACAGGAATTAGGTTGTTACAGTCTGCTTCTATCTAACAGGTAGGGTTTAAAAAATATAAATAATAAGGGCCCAAGTGAAGCATAAGAGCTACCAGCACTACAACACTGCCAAGCTCTGGCTAAAGTACAATCGTGAAAAGTGGTGTTCCATGCTCTCCATCAAGATCAGCGCTTTACCCAGAAGACTTAGAACACTGCTACAAGCTCCTGGCTTAGGCACAGTGCATATATATATGCATACTGCTGAAGTGCTGGAGCAATTGGTTTTGTTTCCCAGTCACAAGAAAGCAGGGTGGCTTGCAGTTTGTAGCCCCTCCTCAGGGAAGAAGTTTTTCACCCAGAGGGTGGTGAGGCACTGGAACAGGTTGCCCAAGGAGGCTGTGGATGCCCCATCCCTGCAGACATCCAAGGCCAGGCTGGATGTGGCTCTGGGCAGCCTGGTCTGCTGGTTGGCAACCTGCACATAGCAGGGGGTTGGAACTGGATGAGCGTTGTGCTCCTTTGCAACCCAGGCCATTCTGTGATTCAGCTCTGGAGCTGATAGAGCCCCCATTTTCCCTCAGGTTTATCACTCACTTCTGGGTGCAGCACCCCAGAACAGATCCCCGCCCAGGTCCCGCCTGAAGCACCGTGACAGCCGCTGGCACAGACTCGGACACTCGTGCCCACAGCTAACAGCTGCTTCAGGAGGAGCGCAGCAGCAGGCCGTGCCCACACAGCTCCTGTCAGGAGAAACCCCCTCCCTCTCTCCGTCCCTCCCCAGCCGAGGGCACACACCCCTTCCCCAAGAGGCTCCCCTCGAGCTCCCCCAGCAGCCAAGGCCCCGGGTTGACTCCCCAGCCCGCCCGCCACCATTACCTCACTCCAACCGCCCGCAGTTCAAACTTCCGCGCCGCACATGCGCACCGCTCACCACGCAGCGCCCCCCCCGCCTCCGGGCCGCCTTTTAATGAATGCGCGCATGCGCAGCGCGCACTGCGCAGCGCCTCAGAGAGCGCGCGTCTAGCTCGGTGTGCGCGTGCGCAAAGCGGTGACGGCGCTCCCGGCCGTTCTGGGCATGCGCAGTCGCTGTGCTGGGTATAAGGGAAGGGATGCGCGTTGCGTTTGGAAGCGCATAAAAAGGTTTAAAAAATACAGACAAGTCACAAGTCACGGGATTAACATAATGTGTTATCAAAGGGATAAATGAGTTCCTGCCCCCTTATCACCTCCAGCAAGCAAAAATGGGCTGGTGCTGGGGTCAGTGATGGAGGTCAGCCATCATTGGATTCAGGACCAGCCTTCTTCTGAAGGAGAGAAAGGGGAATCCACTTGCTGCCTGCATCTAGTTAACAGCCCGCAGCAATGGTCTGTGCTGCCTCGTGGTGTCTGTGCAGGTTGTGGTGCGGAGCAGTGCTGGTGGCAAACACAGAACACTGAGCTGGAGATGTGGGAAGGCTGCCGTGCCACAGTGCTTTGCGTAGCAGGGCATGCATTGTGGGGCTGGTGCTGTTCTTAGGGCTTTGCATAGGGGAACGCACGTCCTGGTGTGCTTTGGGCTTGGTGGTGTATCCCCCTGTCTTTTTGGAACTGATAGCTTAGGCCTAGGTGTTGTACAAGTGCCCTTCAGGAAGTAAAGCAAACGGTGTGCACGTTTGGGGTGACCTTGGGATGGTCTGTGAGCAGCAGGGGTTGCCCCACCGAGGTGCCCTGTTGGCAGTGCCCTCTGTCTGTGACAATCTGTCGCTCCTTGGGGCTCCAGGAGGGGGATTTTGTGTGATACCTGTGTTTGAGCTGCATCTGTCGTAGCAGAGGGCTTGAGTCAACTGCAAGAGCAAAGCACTGCATGCAAACGTCTGTCTGATGCTTACAGTGATACAACACTGTTGTTTTACTGTGGATTTAATATCTTTTCTGGCTGCCATTCTGTACTGAAGCGATGTTCCCATGGCTTCCATCCTGTATCGCCTTGTCTTTCTCTGAAATCCCCCTGATGTGATGCTGCCTGGTTTAGGTGCAGTGTTGGAGCACACGGGAAGATTATTTTCAGATGCATCTCCCAAAAGGACATCTTTCTCCAAATTTCAAAAAAAAAGAAGTTTATTTTCATCAATAACGATTAAGGAAAAACCCAGACAAACATCGACAGAAGCAAACAGAACTCAGAGGTAAAACACACTTCTGTGACACTCCATAAGATTTCAGCTTTGACACACAGGGATTTGGGGTCTTGTGAGACGACCTCCCGCAGTGGGACATTCCCACTGAAGCTGTGTATGGGATGCACAGTGTGACACCCAGACATGTTCAGACCCTCATCTATTAGCAGTAACCATGGATTCCAAGAAGTTGCAGGAATTTTGGAAAAAGAGATTTGTTTTTATTTTTTTTTCTTGAAAGGGAGAGTTTGATGCTTTTTGCCAGCAGCAAACTGTTTTGGAATATGGTAATGGATAAAAGCAATTCTTTAGGCAGTTCTGCTTCCCATCCCTTCAGCGGGGAGCCTTATTCTCAGTTGGGAGGTAAACAGATACCATTGCTTCATGTTAAATAGGGAAAAAGTTAAGAGGTCACTGCCCCATTCTAAAGCCTCTGCAAAGCATGGAAATCCAAGAAGATGTAAGTAGTGCATCACATGTTTTCCCTGCATCACTGGACCACACAACAGACTGGTCACAGGCAACAAAGGCTATGGGACACCTCCCTCAAACACAAGAATGCTGATTAGGGTCCATTCCCTGCCTGACAACATAAAAGAAAATGTACATTTGTGCCTGGGGTGATTCTATGGGCTGGGCTGCACAAGCCAGCACAGGGCAGTGGTAATGTTCTACCCAGCAGTTGTTGCTGAGGCTGCAACATAGCAGAAGTGCATCCAGGCCAAGTTTACACTGCTGAGGATCTCAGGTCTTATGCTCAGGGACAAACCCCCACCTCAGGAGTGCCAAGCTAGCATGATGAGCTGCCCAAATCTTAGCCCACACTCTGGTTTTGCAGCTCCTGCTGAGGCCAATGTTCCTCCAGCCAGGTGCTAATTGCCTCCAAACCATCCTGCTCAAAGCTAGCTTGTATCTTCCTACATTACAGGCCAGCAGCAAAAGCAAGACTACGGTGTAAACATACCATGTATCTCTCAGACCCCAAGTGAAACTTTATTTAGACAGCTGAAAAATATAAATAGGTAAATTTAAAAAAAAAAAAAAAGATTTTTTTCTGGGTGCTTTTGGAGAGAGCTGCCTCGAGGGTCCGTATTCCTCAGACTCACTCCACTAAGATACCTTCACTTTGCCTTTCTCAGGAGCTGCCTCGTGGAGGAGTGGCTGCTCATCCCCATTCACCGACAGCATCCTCTTTTCTGGTGGCTGCTCCTCAGGCTGGCGGGCAATCAGCAGGCGGCAGGTGAGCAGGATCCCAAAAACCAGAGCATGGGCGTAACGTTTGAGCGGGTCCCCCACTAGCTGGTGGAAGAAGAGCACAGCCAGCACCAGGAGGAGGAGCAGAAAGTTGGCCACATCTTTAGGGCGGCCGGGAACCAGTGTCATGACAATGCCACATGCCACTTCTAGGGCTCCGATGCTCTTGCGGAGAAGGATGGAGCTGACTCCCATCTTCTTCAGCATGGGGAGGGCACGCACGTAGCTTTTGTAGGCTCGTTTCTGAAATCAAGCATCATGCGGTGATGTGAGAAGGGAGAGGTGACTTTCATTGACATAGGTAAGTGTGGTATGGTGTAAAGATCATAGAATCATAGAATCATACAATCATACCATCATACAATCATAGAATCATAGAATGGCCTGGGTTGCAAAGGACCACAATGACCATCAGTTCCAACCCCCTGCTATGTGCAGGGTCGCCAACCAGCAGAGCAGGCTGCCAGAGCCACATCCAGCCTGGCCTTGAATGCCTGCAGGGATGGGGCATCCACAGCCTCCTTGAGAAACCAAGATCAGTTCAGTCATCACAAACCCCACTGGCATGATACCCCTCTGTAGCCATAAAGCTTCTGATGGATATTAACACTCCATCAACCTGCAATGCTCCTTCAGGAGCTGGAAGACAGCTGTGCAAACTAGAAGCCAGTGCTGGAGCTAGGAGTGTGTTAAGCACACCTTCTCCCAAAATCTGAAGTTACCATTGCTACGATCAGCAATGCAGAACCATGTTTAAAAAAACCAACTATCTGAGAGTATCATGCCCTTAAATAACACACCTCGTCCCCGCCAAGCCAGGGCACAGAAGGTGGAAGAAATCACTTCCCATCTCAAAACAACACAGAGTGCCCCAGGGCTTGTGGGCAGGACAGACTCAGTGTGGGACAGACAACGCATCAGAGCTCAGATTCACCTTTGTGAGTCCTGCTCCTGCTCTTACACACCTCTGTGATCCTTTCTTTCCTCAGATAAAAGCAAGCAGACACTTGACATCTTTGCCCTCTGATTTATGCTGGATTTAGAAGCAGTGTGAGCTGCTGCCAGCCTCCTTCCACAGCTGCCTCCTTGTTTCAGGAAAGAAGCAACCTCTGTCCTTACATGCACTCAGGTTTTTGCATTTGAACATGAGCTATAGGTGGTTTTGCACATTTACTTCCCAAGCAGTTTTGGAAACCTGCGTTATGGGCACACAGAACTTCCCCACTTCTCTGTGAATTTTAAGAGAAGCTGATGATGCTGTGGTTGAACAATATTCAGTTTTGTCATTTTTGCTACCAAAGATCCCTTGACCAAGTGGATGTAAGGTAAGAATGTGCTTTGAGACTTCTGTCAACAAAAGCTCTCCTCAAGGCAGCAGTTTTTAACAGATAGATAAAGCAATGGGTTGGTGGTATGCCCTGCAGCACTCTGGTATTCCAACAAACAAACAGCTGTGCGTGCTTTTTGCTGAATGGGAAAATAAAACTAATAAAGTCACTGCACATTTGGGTAAATAGCAGTGGTTCTCTGTTTGCTTGGGGCAAGAAGTCACACACTGATGAGCAAAATCAGGTTTTCATCCCCATCTTATCTATTTAACATATCACCCTGGTTTGCTGTGCAGCAAAAGCATAGAAACCTAATGAGCCTCAACACAGCACAGGGCATTAAGAATGGTGTTGTTGCCCAATGTCTGAATGCCTCCACTTCCTCTTTGTAATAAAAATGCAGATCATCCCTACCTGTAAGCCTCACTCCTGGCAAAGCATAAACCCACAAAGAAGCCCAGTGCTATGCAGTGAGCATTCTGCAATGCTGCTAAACCTCAGCGCCTTGTTCCTAAACTTCACTGAGGCAGCAGGAGCCGGAGAGCTTTGTTTTCTGGTCATTTTCTTCTCACTTCTCACTCCTGAGTTATTCTGCAATGCTGTCCTCTATCAGAGACGTGTGCAGGTCTGCAGACACAGCACTGCCGTTCAGATGTTATTTGAGAGCTAAGGAAAAGCAGGTGCAGCGATGGGAGAGAACAGAACGTGCTGGAAACTTCCATCACTATTTCTTACGGGCCCAAGAATTACACCGGCGCTTTTCCACCATTGCAAAGAATAAAATGAAAATGGAGGAGGGCAGGAGAATAACCCAAGGCGGATGGGAGCAGAGGGCCAGCCCTTGCTCTTGCTCTGGGATTCTCCCAGCTGATAAATGCACACGGTGCCATCCCCTTCCTTAGCACCCTATGGGGGAGAGATCCATTTCCCAGAGCACAGGGAGTAATTAGGTGATTCTTCACATCTTCTTCTGCCTGCTAAGAACCCCACAGCATCTCACGGATGGGAATTAATCTACCACAAGCCCGGTGAGGTGGGGACACTCAGTGCCATTATTCCTGCAGCAAAGCACCGGCAACATCGAGTGTGATCCGGGGCGGGCATTGCCCAGGGATGGCCGGACCCGCAGTCCCTCCCCAGACCCCGCACCTCGCACCCATCCTTCCCCCATCTCTAGGGAACAGCGGTGCCATCCCATCCTCCTCGCCCCGCTTTCT